GGTGGGAGGGGCCCCTGCCCATGGCAGGGGTGGGATGGGATGAGCCTTGAGGTCCTTCCAGCCCAAACCAGTGTGACTCCATGGTCAGAGTGCTGTGCAGTTGCCAGGCACCCTCAGCCCTGGTGATGGAGGTGAGTGCTCAGTGCCTGCACCAGTGTGAGCTGCTGTGGGAGGCACTGGGGAGATGTGGCAGGAGGTTGGAGCTTCCTGAGTGCCCAGCTGTGAGAGGAACATGCTGCCTCCTAGCAAGGCAGTTCTTCAATCTTTTGGTAAATGGTAGAGTTGATTTCCAGCTGATCTTGCACTGCCTCAGTGTTCTCATACACCTTGTCTGGCACGGATCTGTCCATTCTGGTTTCAGCACGTTGGAAGCTGCTGAGCACACACTGTTCCCAGTGCCTGTGCTGCAGCTGTGCCATGGGTAGGGTCCACCCAGGCTGCCTCAGCACTGCCCGAGGCTCTGGCAGGGCAGGTGGGAGCTTGAGTTCAGTCAGGAATGTGCCTGAGATTTTCTGCTTCCTTTGGAACATTCCTCTGTGTTTATATGCTTTAAACATTGGTGGAAAGAGTTCCAGTTATAAGTGCAGGGTGAGTGTCCTGTAATATCCTGTGTCAGATCGACTGGACTGAGAGAGTCACCAACCTCCCTGGTTAAAAATACCAAGCAACCAAAGCACCCTGTTCAGCCCTGCTAGGGACACCAAGAGCAGCTCTGGCTGTCCCAGCTGTGCTTCTGCTCTGAAGGTCTCTAAGCAGCTTCAGAGAATCATAGAACCATCAGGGCTGGAGGAGATCTCTAAGGTCATGTAGTCCAACCCTGAACCTGTCCCTGCTGGAACCCCCAAACCCTAACCCAGATCCTCCAGTGCCACATCAGACACCTCTGAAACACCTCCAGGGATGGTGACTGCACCACCTCCCTGGGCAATATCCCAGGGCCTCAACACCACAACAGGGAAAACATTTCTCCTCACATCCAATCTGACTCTGCCCTGGCTCAGCTCAAGGCCATTCCCTCTCTCCTCTCCCTCAGCCCTGGCAGGACACACATCCCACACCTCTCTCCAGCCCTGGCAGGAGTTGCAGAGAGCCAGGAGGTCACCCCTGAGCCTCTTCTCCAGGCTGAACAACCCAACTCCCTCAGCCCTTGCCCATGCAATGTGTTCTAGACCTCCCTAGTTCTTGGAAAGCTCTGGAGAGAAGCTGCTTGTAATGAAATCCCAGCCCCCCCAGAAGTGCTGCCTGTCCTTGTGCCTGTGCCTGCATTGTTTTCAGCCTCCTGTTTCTGGTTGTAGCTCTTCAATGAGTTGTTCAAGAATAATGCAAACCGCTCGGAGAACACGGAGAGGAGACAGAACCAGAACTACTTCATGGAGGTGATGACTGTGGAAGGAGTCTATGACTACTTAATGTATGTGGGTAAGAAGTGATTTCCCTTTCTTGTACTTCCTGCAGAATACGAAGTTCACACTCCTTGGTCAGGAACATCCTTCTGTTGTAGGACTTGTGTAATTCAACCCTGTCAAGCCTAGCAATGTACAGCTTGGTGACACAGTTACTTCATAGACTTTGTTGCTGTGCTGATTTATCATTCATTATTGCTCAGTTGTTGCATTTCTTTCTTTCCTGCCCCTCAGAATGATGAGCTTATGGCAGGAGGTCTCTGCTGTTTGCCCCAGAGTGCCCAGGCTGCTTCTGCACTCTGGGAATGGGGAGGATGTCATGAGTAAAACCAGCTAAGGGAAGGATTTGCTCAGCACTGTGGAGAACATTAATTTTTTGGTGTTGCACTAGCAAAACTAAAGTCTCATGGGTTTGTGTGTAATGTCTCAGCAGTGGTTCCTTTGCCATGTCACCTTACCCGTGTGTGTCTCTGTGGCTGTGCAGGGAGGGTGGTTTTCCACATTCCAGACTGGCTGCACCACCTCCTGATGGGAGGAAGAATTCTCTTCAAGAACACTCTGGAGCTGTACACAGACTATTACCTGCACCACAAGCTGGAACAGCTATTCGAGGAGCACCGGTTGGTGTCCCTGATAACACTGCTCAGAGGTGAGAAACATTCACTTCTTCAGTGGGAAAGTGCTGCTCTACTTTGACACTTGAAATCCCTTCCAGGATGTTTCACAGAACTCCAGAATCAGTTAGGTTGGAGGGACCACAGTGGGTCACTGGTCCCACCTCCTACTCCAGCAGGGCCAGCC